GCCCTGCTGTGCCCAGTCAGCTGAAGGTCACTGCCAAAATTCAGCTCTTCGCCACCCTCTCCGCTGCCTCCCGAGTGGGTGCGTGTTGAAATACCGCCGTCCCCGGCAAAGGCACTCGCTCAAATGACGCAAAAAAGCTTATTTGGAGTGTCCGAGCTCTGCGGTCAATTACTGCTTGTTTGCTGTGGATGGGGAAGGTGAGCTGTTTCCCACAGCGCTGGATTGGGTCAGTGCTTATGCTTGGCAGTGGGACATGGGCACGGAGTTACTTTTGGAGTTCTGTTAGCAGAAGGAGGGAGAGGAAGAATGACTTGGGGAAAATTCCTCACTTCAGTTCTTTTCACTTTCACCGCGTACCCACTTATAAAGGGGAGCACGGATTGTATAGTAATTCCCGAAACAGTTCCCCCCAACAATCTTGGACCAGAGTACAGAGTGGAGTATACCTGTTTCCATGAATTTGTGATCCAGAAAGCCAAAGTAATACCTGTAAATCAAGAGAGGGAAGGGAGTTGTAGTAGCTCCTTAAAACTTTACTCCTTCCTTTTGCAGTGATCTCTAGTTCAGCTCACTACAGAGCCTTTGCGGTTATAGATTGGGAAGCAGCTTGTGAGCTTAAGGTTTGGGACTTAACTCTTGAAACACAACTGAGCTTTAGCTTCTTGCCTGTGTCCCAGCTCCACGGAGCCACTAAGTACGTGCAGCCTGTTGGTGAATGAAGAAACGGCAGAGTGAATAGCTAGTGCTGCTGGGACAACAGACATCAGCATATGATTTCAGCGTGATTGGTTGGTTGCTGCCAGAGCAGCTATTGCTATTTCTCAAATAAAGAAAAATATTCAGTTATTCAAAAATTGTAACAACTTTATGCACTTAAAGTAATGTTGCACTTACTTGAAATAAGAATAATGGACAAGCTTCTAATCTGTGCAGAACAGAATACTGGGGGGGGGGAACCCCTAATCATTAGGATTGTTTAGTCAGAATGGCTTGAAACTCAAAAATAATTCTGAAAAATCGATTCTTGTGATGGCAGGAAGGCTATTGATATATTCATGCTGTAGGCAAGGTGCAGATTAGAAGGATTTGGAGTTATCCAAATCCAGATGTACCATCAGAAATGCTTAGAATTAGACACACTGCTTATCTTTTAAAGCACACAAGCCTTTTATTTTTTGCTAAAAATGCAAATCACAGTAGGATTGTTAAAAAAAAAAAAAGGCAGATTGCCTTTCTTTGTAAATCATCTGTAATATTTAATGTTCCAATTTCTTGGCTTATTTTACATATTTAGTTAAATAAAAGCCCTTCTGCAAAATACAAACCACATTTGCAGTTTGCTCCAGTACTTACTGTTGTTGCTGTTCTCATTCATGCTGTCTAAAGGATCAGCGTTTCTGATTTAGCAGTATTGTAAATGTAAGCTGAGGAAGTTGCCAGCTGGCTTGACCTAGCATTATTAGACTCGAGCTTAGGCTAAGGGTCACAAAAGTTCTTTATGTGAAGCATGTGTGTAAGTGGGAAAGCAGTCCTTTGCTGCAAAAAGGTGGGGAGGATTGCAAGCTTCCCAGCGTGTCCCAGGCCTGAGGATTGGCACAGGGACTGAAAAGGAAGAACAACTCAGATTCCTAAACCTAGCCATATGGTGCCTGCTGCTGTCAGGAAAAGAAAGACAGTTACAGACCAATTAATTGCTCTGTATCTTTTCAGCATCAGCTAGTTAATGATGTAATCCTAAAAAGGTTGCAATACTGTTTTTTCTTAACAAGGTTATCTGTTACTTTTGCTTTGTCTGAAGTAGAAAAAGTTCAGTTCTTGAGATCCTTTTGTCATCACTGAGAACAATGAAAGCTTGATCTGTTATTGACTAGAAGCTGATTTGTCATTTTTGAAAATACCAAAATCTAGATGAACACCTTTAGCACTTTAAAAAAAGTGACAAACCCTTTCCAATGTGCATGTGGACATTTATGTCACTCTTAGTCCTTGATGAGTTAGGGTTGCAGGATATCCTTAGAGAGTACTGAGTGGAGGAGCTCAAGACCTTGGCTACATTATAGGTGTCTTTTGCTAAGATTTAAATGTTCAGTAAAACTTCAGCTTAACTTTAGATTAACTGAAAGAGGTTGACATGGATTAATCTCAAGTGATTAATCTGTGCTCCTGCATTTCAGACTGATGAACCGTCATAAAAGAGTCTGGGGGCTGACTTCACTGTTTAATTTCAGTGCTTGCTTGTAGAGGAAAGCTTGAAGTGGACTCTGTGCTAACAAGAAAGTGGTAATGGGCTTCAGGGGTGAATGTGTCCAGATTCTATTGGCCTTCACAGGAGTAAACTGTTTGCTTGGCAGTGAGAAATGATGGTAAATTTATGGAAATTGTTGTTTTGCTGGGAAATACTACAGCTATCACAGGAAGAGCTGTTCCAATGAATTGAATTTTAGTATGAGCATGTGAAAATAAAGAACAATACTTCCTGGAGAAACTCTTTCCAATGATGAATGTGCTATGATCAGAAGTGAAGTGCCTTTAAAAAAACAAACAAACAAACAGACTGGTTGACTTCTGAGTGACAGAGAGGAACATACAGTGTGTTACCTTCTTCTGTATTTGCAATTTGAAAACAACTGAACAAAATTCTGACCTTCCCAACAAAGTGGCTTGAGCACCTTTTGGGCTTCACTTTGCCAAGCGCTAATAGCAGCAGCAGAAGCAAGCTTGTGTAAGCAGCATCAATAAGGGTGTGACGTTTCTGATTAAGCTACCTTTTTCATCCTCTTCAGAATGCATCATTATGTAATGTTTCTGTTATGTTGATGCCACAAAGACTTAGTTAAGGTAGGATTCTTGTTGTCACTTCATGCTGCACAGAGGTTGTAAATTGCTCGGTAGCTCAGCTGTGCTGCGTAGTTGTTCTGTGCTGCATGTCAGAAGAGATGCATGAGGCTGTCTCAAAGTCTTTTTTTCTGTATGGGATGCTACCTGAGCTGGTTCTGCCACTTGGCTGTTGCTGTGTAGCTCCACTGAGCCCTCTTTTCCCTTTCTTCCCTATAAAGCACAGCCAATGAAGTATTATATACCCTCCCCCCCTTTTTTTCCTCTCTTCCTTCCAGTTCTGGGGAGAATTCTTACCTTCAGGCTTTGCTAAGATTCATGTGGAAAGGCAAAATATCTTGTCTTTCTGTTACTCACTTTGTTATTGAAATACTAGAAGTTGCTATGGTTAGAGTCATCAATATTTCCATTATAAATCTTTTTCATAAACTTCTGAAACTGAACTCAGCTAGTGTAAAATAAACAAAACCTTAAGTGGGGGAAAAACATTTCATGAGCATACTCTTCCCTAATTATGAAATAGGATAGGCTTGTCCAGGCTTTAGTTATGCAATTGGGTGGGAAACTTGCTGCGGTTGAGTACTGAAAATTCTGAAACATTGGAGTTTTTAAGGGTTTTATTTTCATTTATTTTGAAAATGAAACATTAAAGTGAATTATTTATTGATTAGGTTGATAAACCAGTTTGGAATCCTAATTTTGAAAACAGATAAAATCATTAAAGAAAATCTGGCTGTGACAGCTTAATGGGTTAAACTGATTCACTTTCACTTGACTCATTGTCATGCTGTTCCTTCAGAGGCATTTCTAATATCCACTTAATTGCATGTACTTTCTGTTTTCTTTTGTTTCAGACACTGTCAGTCTGCAAAATGATGATTCCAAGGATGTTCATTTTCTGTAGGAAATGTGAAGATTGTGAGCTGAAGTAAAACGTTGGCAGAAATTTGAGAATTTTGCCTTTTCTTTTTCTCTTTGAAGGATTATGTTTACAAGAAACTGATACCATCAAGTGACACTTTATTGAAAGAAAGTAATTTAAAAAAAAATAAGAATAAAGCTGTATTTATGCTCAGAGAAAACTGGATTAACAATGAGGCCAAAGACTTTTCCTGCTACAACATATTCTGGGAACAGCAGACAAAGGTTACAAGAGATTCGAGAAGGTTTAAAGCAACCATCCAAATCTTCAGGTCAGGGCCTACCTCTTGGACCAGGCAGTGAACCTTCTCTGGACCCTAAGATTTTAATAGGGAAGGATGCTGCAAGACAGCAGCAGATAAGACAGACACCCAAGTTTGGACCGTATCAGAAAGCTCTGCGAGAAATTAGATATTCTTTGCTGCCTTTTGCTAATGAGTCCAGCACTACAGCAGCTGTTGAAGTAAACAGGCAGATGCTCCAGGAACTGGTGAATGCAGGTTGCGATCAGGTACGTATGAGTTTGGAGGGGGGATTGTCACTGCCTTCAAAACAAGTTTATTCCTGGCACTATACAAAGGATTTTGATGGCAGTTATCAAACTTGCCAGTTGACAAAATACTGGTTCTTCTGGCAGTTGTGTTGCTGTATGACTAGCAGAGTAGATGACATGCTGTTGAGAGATGTGCCTAGGATGTGGTTAATTATGTTAAAAATGGTGCTGGTGACCTCTAGGATTCCCTTAGGATTTCTCCAGTGTATAAGGCTGAATGGGGTACCTTGTCTGTTTTCTTTTTTTCTTTCTTCTTGTTTCCCCTCAAGACTGGAAGAAGCCTTAGCTATGAGTAAGAGGGAATATTGTCTATCACATCTAAGCTCAGTTCACTGTCAGAAGCAACAAGAAGACGGTATATGGTCTTTGAAGAAGTTCACTTGCTGTTTGCCAGAAGCAGGTGGCACTGGCTGGATGTTCAGCAAGCAGCAGTGGTTGGGTACACACCCTTTCTCCCTCATCTTCCCAGCTTTTAGCAAAACGTGGTAGTCCTGTCTCAGATAAGGGACTTGGCACAGTGATGTTTGCTTTTGTCGTTCCAAGATGGGTGTTAGAATGTATTCTTAATTCAAAGACCACTCACCTGGTGCAGCACATGGTCTGTGTTGAGCTGCGTTCATCTTGCACGTGCTTCTAGTGTTGGTACTGGCTTTCATCTCTGTCTAGGAATAGTTCAAGATTTTGCTTTTTAGAGATGAAATGCTGGTTTGGGTTCAGATTCTGACTGTTGCAGAAATTACTTTTTTTTTCCCCCCTGTGTGATCGAATGGCAGTTATTGACAAGCTGAAGCATGTCCATTTGTAGTCTGTGATACAAATTTAAGAGATCTTAAACTGAGGTGCTTTCAGTAGCATTTCCTTGATTTCAAGACTTCCAACTTCATTCACTGATGGCAGAGTGTGTCTTGCCTCTCCTAGATCATATTACGAATCTGTATAACAAAACTAACATCAGCCATTTTTTTATAAACAGTCTACATTTATCTGGAGCCGTATAGACATTAATTAGTGCTGTTTCTATTCCAAGGAGTTTATGCTGTGTGAGATAATTGGAACTAGAGGAGATGCAGATCCAATGCGAAGTGCTGTGTTACAACTAAACACTTTCTAGTCCAGTGAACCAAGATGCTGTACGGATTTATTTAAGTGGAGGAACCAGGGATTTTCTCTGATCTTAAGCATGCCATGAAAACATGATATTTTTTAGAACTCTACCCTCTAAATTTCCCTAGCTGTTTAGGATGAGAACACTCCCTGTGTGTGTGAGCCAAGGTTAAATGAGCACAGCTGGATTCTGGATTGGAAATGTGCATTTGGTAGGTTACATGGACAAATCGTTCACACACAGAACAGGCTTGTTGGACTGAAATCTTGGAAAGTACTTTGAGCATACTACAGCACAGAGATACTAAGCCAATATATAAACCAGAAATACCTTAGCACCTGTTAAAATGTCTTGGTATTAAAGGCAGTGTAATGCTCTAGATAGGTGAAATTTTAATATCTTTAGCTATTTTGACTTCGAAGTTCATATAACAGTATTGCTTCTTATAGAGCACTGACAGTGAGCCCAGTTCTGACTCTGATGTGAAGATTTTTTTCCACCTCCTTAAATTTGGTTGCACTTTTTTGGTAGTGTTTTGTCTGGGTTTGATTTTTGTTTTTTATTTCTTTTTTTCCCCCCTCATTGACCATGATCCTTCCATCCTCACGTATAGCTTTTCTCCCTAGCTGTGACTTGTTACCTGGAGATGGCATCATTTGGCCTATCCCTTAGGTGTGTTTGGTGTTCAAACCTAAGCATGGGCAGGATCACATTTGGCTAGAGTCTAGACAGGGGTTCCAAAACTGGAGTCTTATGGCTAAAGATGCTGGGTTCAGGCCATATGAAGGTTGGCTGTCCTGGGGGGTTGTGAATCAGTGGAGTTTCTTGAGATGATGTGAATGGTATCTGGCCCTCGGGATGGCATGGTGTAGGGTGGTAGACTTGGTTACTACCTTTGGATTCTTCCTTTCCTCCTGGTGCCTGAGCTGTTTTGAATCAAAAGCTAAACTGTTTGAGATGTGTAGTAAATCAGCCATCCCAAGGTACCCTGTTCCTGCTTGTGAATCAAAGTCTTTAAATACCTACCGCATGGACATCTTCTGTAGTCCTGTAGGCAGCTAAGAGATTATTGATATAACGGAGAAGTGAAGTCAGCTTCATTTTCTTTGGGGATGGTTTTATTTACCTCTGGACCCAGTGCTAGTGTGAGGTTGGTAAATGGATATTGAAGTCCTTCCTGCCCTGTTTCAAATGCCACCAGCAAATGTTTAGAGGTTAAGGATTTCAGCCCAGGAATAGCTAATGATCTTGAACCTTCCCCAATAGCAGGCCCACACAGAACAAGATCTTACACCTCCTGATCCTGCTTCATGGTGCACTAATCAGCTGCTCAGCAGCTGCAAGTTTCCTGAAGTTGGCCATTTGCCCTAAGAAGCTCTAATCATGGGTGTTTTGGGAAGGTGTGAAGAGTGAATAGATGGCTATAACATTATTTAGTTTAATCTTTTGTGAACTCTGTTTTCAAGTTGGATTTGGGCTGATGCTTTTTGGTGTTCTAGGTGGAACACTGGAAAGTATCCTAACCTTGTGGCGAGTGATCTCTTCTGGCGGCCACCATGCAAAGATTGAGATTCTTCTTCAGTCTGTTTATTGGGCCAAAATAAGGATTTCTGGGGGGGTGAAAGGGAGCAGTGACAATTAACAAGGAAGGAGCATAAGTTTTAGACGCTGGCGAGAGAATACTTCTGTCACTCTCATCAACTCCAGTCGTCTGGTGTAACTGTAGCATGGTTAGATTTTAACAACCATTTTGCATACTGCAAGAGATGTTGTCTGTCAGGTAACGTAAAGATAGGGTTTGTAGCTCCCTTTTCTGCCTAAGTGACTGTAGGTTTTAAGGTGAAATCAGTTTAATTATATAATATTATGTTTTCTTTTTATCTAACTTTATTATTGCTTTGTGAAAGACCCACACAGACAGGAAATTGGTTATGAGCCGGTGGGTAAATTTAACGAGTATATAAAATGCAGTGTTATTCATCAAGAAAATAAAAAATTCTTGTGTCTTTCAGTTATAGTCATCATAGGTGTTAGATGTGAAAAAAGGAAAGGTTTCTGGTTTTGGTTTTGGATTTTGTTTTGTGTTGGGGGTTTTTTTGTTTTAACTGATTAGGAAGTTGCCAGTGTCCTTTTAAATGACTCGTGTTCTTTCACAATGAATTATTTTCAGCCATCACTGATTTTATAGTGAAATCTGGCCCCAAAAACTTCATGGGGACTTGGCCTCTTTCAGATCAATAGCCAGGATTACACACTCATTTCATTTTTTTCTTTTTTTTTTAAGAGAGACAAAACAAAACTACACACATAATTAGTCATAGTTCTTCTCAAACAAATGGAGTAACTTGTCTGTTGTTTGCGCAAGTCATCTTTTCAACAGTAATTATTTAGCAAGTTTCAATCAAAAATAATTAGTGCAGCATAAATGGTTTTTGAACTTGCAGGACATGACTTCAAAAGATGGGACTTTTTTTGTTGCAAAAGCTTGAAGCTAAAAGCACTGCTAATAGCTAATAAAACTTCCTGGGCTTGGAAGTGTAACTTGCAGTCACCGTGGAGGGACAAGAGTGTGGAGAATCTGTCCTGCGGGTTGGTAAACCGCTGGAATCACCTGGGGCAACTGGATGGCGTTCGGGGTGTGGTGGTAAATGCAGCTGCTGTTGTGGATTGGATTTTTCTAATGAATGGATGCAATTGAGCATATGATTGGTGACATTCCAGGAACCTGAATAGGCTATACTGTATTTACTGTACTTCCTTCAAGCATAAACAGCCACTGACATTGTAATTTAGAGTGGGCTGCAGCAGTTTGAGATGAACCGTGGAACATTACACACATGTCACTTATTTCTCTACCCCTTCCTCCTAAGCAAGCCTCTTTTCTTTGAGGAAGGGTGTCTTTTCTGGGTGAAGATTTATAGACATGGTTTGTTTGGGCAGCTATTTGAAAGAAAAAATGATGGTTTAGGATTTTTTCACAGGCTGTGTACATCCAGTAACATGCATTGTGTACTACTATGCACTGTACAACTGTGTGACTATGTGAAGTGGGGAAGTTCCAATGCTTCATTTTTTCCAGAGGCTTTTATAAATATCTCTGTCATAAAACATCTACTCTCCACCTGTGCCAATATCAGAACATTCCAGAGGGGAAGATCTGTCCTTTGGACACTAATTATAGTGTCTTTCAAGGAAGAGGAATGGTGTTTGTGAGTACTGTAATGTGTCTAAGAATATCACATCTTGTCATCTGTGTTACACTGAACTCATGGAATTCATTTTGAAAAAGTGGGGTGGTTTTTGTTTTCTTCTTTTTCAATTTTTCCTTCTTGCATTCCAGGATTCTTTTGATCTCTTCATCATGGATTGCATCATTTTTATTTAACCCATTTTGTGAAGATTCTACCCTGATTTGGGAATGCCACTTGATTTTTGGGAAACTTGGATAATGGGGAATACATTATTTATCTCAATTTGAGCAAATATTTGCACCTCTTTAAGTGAGGGAAATTTTGCTATGCCAAATAGAGCTTGGGCAGAAAGTTCTTTTATGTTTCACATTTTGTTTTTTCTTTTCTATAAAGATTAAAATCTTGCTTGTCCACATATAATGTGTGCCATCTATCAGTGTGGTACTGAGCAATATGACTTTCCATCCTGTTGTTGTAGTGATGGGAGGAAGCAGAAACAATGCCAAGTTTTGTTTTGGTAACAGGCAGTGCATGGCTGAAGTTTTCCTTGTAGTAGAATACCTGTTGTGATTTGGTTGTTAAGAGGACAAGGCTAAAAAGGCAGCTTGCCTTCAAGGTGAAGCATGGCAAATTTTGTAATAGCCCTGAGTGACTGGGGGAAT